CAGTGGATTGATGCCATGAATAAAGAGTACAAGTCTATGCAAGACAATAAGGTTTGAGAACTTGTCCCATTGCCAGAAGATGCAAAACTAATTGGTTGTAAATGGATTTTTAAAACCAAGCGGGATGCAAATGGTAATGTGGATAGGTATAAGGCACGTCTTGTGGCTAAAGGCTATACTCAAAAGGAAGGCATTGATTATACAGAGACTTTCTCTCCGGTTTCATCGAAAGACTCTTTCAGAACAATTATGGCACTTGTTGCTCATTATGATCTTGAGTTACATCAGATGGATGTTAAGACTGCATTTCTCAATATAGACATTGATGAGATGATTTATATGGTGCAATCAGAAAACTTTGTGTCAGGAGACCCAAAGAATATTGTCTGCAAATTAAGAAAATCCATCTATGGACTCAAGCAAGCTCCTCGTCAATGGTATCATAAGTTTTAACAAATAATTATCTCGTTCGGTTTTGAGATGAACATTGTTGATGACTGTGTATATCACAAGTTCAGTGGGAGTAAGTATATCTTTCTGGTTCTGTATGTTGATGACATATTGCTTGCCACTAATGATATAGGCATGTTGCACGAAACCAAGAGATTTCTATCAAAGAATTTTGAGATGAAAGATCTTGGGGACGCCTCTTTTATATTAGGAATACAGATACATCGAGATCGCTCTCGGGGTATTCTTGGATTATCACAAAAGAGCTATATCGATAAGGTACTTAAAAGGTTTGACATGCAAGACTGCAGACCAGGAGACACCCCTGCGGCTAAAGGAGACAAATTTAGTCTCAATCAGTGCCCTAAAGGTAACCTTGAAATTCAGGAAATACAGAAGATTCATTATGCTTCGGCTGTAGGAAGTCTAATGTATGCTCAGGTATGTACGCGTCCGGATATTACATACATTGTTGGAATGTTTGGCAGATACTTAAGCAACCCTGGTATGGATTATTGGATAGCAGTCAAAAGGGTTATGAGGTATCTTCAGAAAACAAAAGATTTTATGCTCACATACTGAAAATCAGAACAGCTGGAGGTCATTGGGTACTCTGATTCTGATTTTGCTGGATGCCAAGATAGCAGAAAGTCTACATCAGGCTACATTTATAAGTTAGCAGGAGGACCTATATCATGAAAAAGTGTCAAACAAACACTTGTAGCTTCCTCCACTATGGCAGCAGAATTTGTAGCTTGTTATGAGGCATCCAATCAGGGAATATGGCTGCGAAATTTTGTCACGGGACTGCGCATTTTGGAAAATGTTGAAAGACCACTAAGGTTATATTGTGACAATAAATCTGCAGTAATATATTCCAATAACAACAGGAGCTCAACTAAGTCAAAACATATTGACATTAAGTTTCTGGTTGTGAAAGAAAGGGTGCAGAGTGGACAGATATCCATAGAGCACATTGGGACAAACTCCATGATAGCTGATCCTCTTACTAAGGGATAGCCACCCAAGATCTTTCATGAGCACACTGCTCATATGGGTGTGGTGTTATTTGAGGATATCATGATTTAGTGGGAGTTTGTAATTTTTGGTGCTTTATGTTTGGTTGTATTGTCTGATCAGAATAAAGTATTCAGTTAAGACACTCTGTTACATTATGTTTGGTTTTGACCTCACTAAGGAGGACCAGTTGAAAATAGACATGTACTGATCACATTGCATGTAATTTTCATGCTGCACATCCATGTTTGATCTATGTCGTTTGATTGTATTGGTATATGTGACCATTGATGGGTTTAGTTACGATAAATGTGACAAATGCCGCTTTGATCCTATATTGATATAGTCAATGGACGAGATTGTTCGGAAATAGCTTTTCAGTGATAGCAATTTTAAGCTCATAAAGTTATACACAACTTAAGGAATCATATGGTGCCCAAGTGAGAGATTGTTGGATTTAATCTAATAAATCTATTTGTGGGCACATATGATTAATCAATGTGTATTGCTATCTTTCAGGATAACCCACTAAAGTGATCAATTAATTTGGGTTAATATGTATTTAATTAAGTCATGGGGTTATATGTGCAGATACCAGGTTGTAAATTGTGATTTGATGAGGGGCCAAATTGCAAATGTACAACATCTATAAATAAGGGGTTATGGTTCCTAATCTAGGGTTACATTCTCTAATTCTCTTCACCCCCATCTAGAGAGAAATTTGGCTAGAGAAACCCTAAGGTTAGAAGATCCAAAACCCATCTCAAGTTTAATCTATGGATTCAGGTATAAGCTTCCGCTCTTTTCTTTTGATTCTTGTAAATCTCTTTGAATTAATCATGGCTTTATGGTTTAGATCTCAAGTTTTTATAAGATCTAACATAATCATTGTAGCATGAACAATAATTTTGAAGTTTTGCTTTTATGCGAGAAGTTATAGCTATAGATTTTGACGAGTAAAATCCAAACTTACAGACTCTCGGAGCACCTCACATGCGAGCCCATTCTCAACCAACTGGGATATAGTTGAATTTTCTAAGATAGCCCCAGGACCAGTTTCATGAGCGCTTGAGAATGCCACAGGCCCACACACATGCGGAGCGTTCTCAATTAAGAGATCTCTATGTTCTCCTTAAAATGTGTTTAGTTTAAACTATGTTCTAGAAATTACGCTAAATGTGCAACGATTTATAACACCTTTAATGCATTATTGATAAGTATATATGCCGCGTTTAAGTACATGGTCTAACAAAGTTGATAAATAAGTAAATTTTTAAATTAGTATTTGATGTGGTTAGAAAAAGCACAGACTCTTAATATATAGCACTCCATGCTATCAGATAAATTATTTTTACAACAACATTTAAATCCCCAATATTTCCACAGTTCCTCGAAAGTCGCAATAGCAGCTGCTATTTGAATAAGAAAAATACATGAACCGAAGGAAAATCTTTGACATTAACCAATATCACGCCTACGTACCTTTCTAGTCATAACTCGACCCGATTCATTGTATCCAGGTTAGCAGTCCTCTCTCGACTCTAGTGGATCTCCCCCATTCAAACCGAACACTTTCGTTTTCTTTTCCACCCCTCTTGAAGACGATTGACAAACCAAACCCTAAAATATCATCAAATAGCAAGAAGGAAAAAAATATATATTAGTCATCTATTATCTCTGTTCCGTTTGTAGTACGTTTTAACCCCAACGATATTCAAATAAAGTAATTTACTTTATATCTAGGGTCTGTTTGGTTGTTTTTTCTAAAAACCAAGAAATGGAAATGAAAAGGTGGAAATCTCAAAAAGTTCAATTTCATTCATTTCCATCCCTAAAACTCACCCGCAACATCCAATAAAATATTATTTTCATCCAACAACTCAACCACCACATCTAATAAAATATTATTTTCATCCATAACATCACTCAACTCATCTCATCTTATCATTTCAAATCACTCACATCATCCTATAAAATGGTGATAACTCATCTCATCTCATTAACATTTCATTTCCACTCATTTCCTCCCAACAAGCTAGGAAAACGATTTCCTTAAGAAAAATTCTTTAAGGACCCAAAATATGGGACCAATAAAGGGGACAAGTGAGGTGTTCCCCTCCTATTGGATAATGAGTTGGCCATCATTAATGATGGTCAACTCATTATCCAATAGGAGGGGGACACCTCACTTGTCCCCTTTATTGGTCTCATATTTTGGGTCCCTGTAGCAAAGCTCTTTCCTTAAGTGTGGGTCACATCATTCAATAATATAATGACAACTCATCTCATCTCATCTATTTTCTTATTTTTAAGAATGAACCAAACAAAAGAAAACAACCTATTACAGAAAATATGTTTCTTATAATTAATTTCTTTATTTTTTTCGTCAACCAAACAACATCAAAACAAGTTTTCTTAAAAAATCACTCACATCATCCAATAATAAGGTTTTCTTAAAAAATCACTCACATCATCCAATAATAAGGTGACAACTAACATCATCTCATCTCCAATTCTTTGATTTCCTTCTTTTATCCAATAATAAGGTGACAACTAACATCATCTCATCTCCAATTCTTTGATTTCCTTCTTTTTTTAGCCATCCAAACATTTTAATTTCCTTCTATTTTTACCCCAACCAAACATTCTCAAAACAACTTTTCTTAGAAATAGTTTTCCATTTATTTGATTTCCCTTTTTTTTTTAGGCAAACAAACAGCCCCTATAAGAAAAACCCTGTCAAGGTAGAATTCTGCAGCACAATTAATCGTGCTGCATAAAGAGAGAACTCATTTAGATTTCATATATATTTAATAAATGACAGATATATATCAAGAAAATAATACAACGAACCGAGCAAGTAGCATGTGCATTATTAAACAAAATCCTATATAAATATCCCCCCTCTCCTCATTCCTCTTCCCCCAACAAAATTTATAATAAAAATACACGATCAATAGAGATTACCCCCCTC